ATATTTTTATTAAGGGTAATATATGGAAGACCAAAGTAGTCCAACCCCTATATTTTACAACTTGTTTGGATGGTTGTTATTTGTTGAATTGTATCGTATTGTTATTTCAAATACAATTTTTTTTATTGCTACTTAAATTTTATTGTATCGTATCGCTAAATTTGTCGTTACGTAACAACAAAAAGTGTCACTTTATGGAACGACCGATTTGGTGTGGTCGCATCGTTTTCTTATTTTTTTTCCTCGTCTTGCCTTTTTTATTATTAAATAATCATATATTTTTTCCTTTACCCTGCCTTTTTATATAATAATATTACCTCACACCTTACTTTTTATTTATAATATTAAAAATTTATTTTTCATATTGTTGGTGCATGACATAATGAAACAACGACAGACAATACAATTTATTCAAATATTATATATATCAAAATGATAAAATATAATATAATATAATATTATAATATAAATTATGAAACGATACATAACAAACATCCAAACAAACAAGCTGTTAAGGACCATGTTGATTATGTGAAGATTGAGAGTCGCATACCAAAACAATTGGGGAAGGACGTGAACGTTATTTTGAAACCGACTCCTCGACTAATGTGCCTTAGTAGGCGTTTGGACATAAGAATTATAAAATTCTGAAAAATGGTGAAAACAATTTTCAAGTGAAAATGGTATTTGAAATTTAGAGTTGTGTTTGGACATAAAAGTTCAGTTTGGGTTGTTTTTTAAGTTTTTGTGAGTGATTTGAGTGAAAAATTTGAAAAACATCTTTTTGGAGTTTTTCAAATTTTCGAAAATTTTCAAAATGTGTGAAAATTAGAAATTTTATGAACAAACGCTGATTTCAAAAAAAAGTGATTTTTTTTGGAAAAAACTTCCATCAAATTTTATGTCCAAACGGACTCTTAGATTTGTTCAAAATTCCATATTTTTCCTGTTCAGATTTCAAATTACTTTTAGAATTTAACAACAAAAAGAGATCTTTTTTTTTCCAAGCAACTAAACTTTTATATTTATACAAGGCAACTGTTCAGCTTTCGTACGACACGCATGGTAGTATTTCATTGGGGAAAGGAAAAAGTGAAACTCCTAAAGAGTAGTAGAGGAAGGATTTTCCGACGTATTACTCAAGATTAATCTTTTCAAGTTAAGGTAGCCATTTTGTTTTCGTTTATTTTATTGTTCCCTTATGCTGGATTTGGTAGTGGCCACTTTTTGTTTGATTGGATTAACTAGGGTTTCTTGTTTTTCATCAAATTGGATTCTATACTTTGTTCTTTATAGATATCTTCTATGAAGTGGGAACCCTAGATTACTAGAGTTATTTGTTATTTAAATCTTTATATCTTTGGTTCTTGCTTGTCGTTCTTTGGGTAAGATTGATTTCATTTGTTAATTGTTTTCATATACATTCAGTTTGGGTCTAAGATTGTTTAATTCCTTTGAAAGTTTCTATGCTACTATCTTTCAAATAGAGATTTATTTATATTTTCATTATTCCCTCTGAGGTGGGATCTATTTCATTAGAGGAAGGGGCGGTGATTAACTAATATAACGTCTTATCTTCTTTCAAATCACATCTTTCAAGTGAGAAGAGAAGGCTCCCACAGAGCGGTGGAAAAGCAAGGGTGTAGCAGGAAGAAGAAGTATGAAAACAACAAATCTTACAAGCAAGAACCAAAGATATTAGAATTTAAAGAAGAAAAGAGTTATGGTAAAGAACTCACGCTTGAAAGTAATTCTGAAGTTCAATCTTGAACAATAAGGTTTCCAACCTCACAAAATTGTTATAATTATGGAAGATCTTCAACGTGTGTTTCTATTTTTAAGGAGATTGAGAAGTCGATTGTGAGAGGAAGAAGGATCTGCACATGGTATCTTGTTGACCTAGGAAAAATATATGATGGAGTACCAAAAAACGTCCTTTGGTGGGTGTTGGAGAAGAAAAGAATTCATATTTAATGTATAACTCCATAGAAGAACGTCACTAGTGTGCAAACAGTGGTATGAGATATAAAGGAGTTTTCCATAATCGAGTTTACACTTGAGCTAGGCATTGTGCCACTTCTTTATCCCCGTTATGGATGAGCTAACATGATTATGTTCCATGATGTATGATATTTGTTGATGATGTTGTGCTAATTAACGAAAACATTGAAGGTGCTAATCAAACACTTGAATTATGGAGAAACACTCTATATAATAAATTATTTTATAATAAAAAATGAAAATGAACAAAAAACACCGTCCATTCAAATTGGAGGGTAGTTTCAAGTTGGAGTTTTTAAATTATTTTAAAATAAAAAATTAAATTACAAAACATAATGCCAATTCAAAATTTCTTTGTTTTTCTTAATAATTTTTGTTTTTCTTTTTAAAACTACAAAGTTTATTTATTCAGAAAATATTATTGAGAATAATAAAATAAAATATAAAATATAAAAGTATATATTTTTTATTATATTATTAAAAGAAAGTAGCATACACAAATTTAAATAAAGTAATATGCTAATAAAAGTTTCTATTAACAATAAAATAATACTAAATATGGATAATATAATAAAGAAAAATATAAAACAAAAAAGTTATTCGATGACTATATAAGTCTCTTTAATTTAATAGAGATTTTATTCATTAAAATTCAGATAATATTATTGAGAACAATCTTCTATATATTTATATATTATTAAAAGGAGAGGAAAATGGCATCTTCTTAAACCAAGTGTTAGCCTAGAAAAAAGTAACATGACATAAGTAGTTAATAATTAGTTATTTAGTTAATAATTAGTTATTGGTTATTATTTTTGAATTTAAATATTTATAAATAAAAAAAAAATATTTTATAATAAAAACAAAAATTTAAAAAAAAACCATCCATTCAAATTGGAGGGTAGTTTCAAGTTGGAGTTTTAAAATTATTTTAAAATAAAAAACTAAAATTACTAAAAATAATGCTAATTCAAAATTTCTTTGTTTTTCTTAATAATTTTGTTTTTCTTTTTAAAACTACAAAGTTTATTTATTCAGAAAATATTATTGAGAATAATAGAATAAAATATAAAATATAAAAGTATATATCTTCAATTATATTATTAAAAGAAAGTAGTATACACAATTTTAAATAAATTAATATGCTAATAAAAGTTTCTATTGACAATGAAATAATACTAAATATGGATAATATAATAAAGAAAAATACAAAACAAAAAGTTATTTGATGACTATATAAGTCTCTTTAATTTAATATAGATTTTATTCATTAAAATTCAGATAATATTACTGAGAACAATCTTCTATATATTTATATATTATTAAAAGGAGAGGAAAAAGCCATCTCCTTAAGTCAAGTGGTAGCATAAAAAAACGTCACATGACATAAGTAGTTAATAATTAGTTATTTAGTTAATAATTAGTTATTGATTATTGTTTTTGAATTTAAATATTTATAAAATAATAAAATAAAATATTTTATAATAAAAAACGAAAATTAACAAAATATATTGTCCATTCAAATTGGAAGGTAGTTTCAAGTTGTAGTTTTTAAATTATTTTAAAATAAAAAAACTAAAATTACAAAACATAATTCCAATTCAAAATTTCTTTGGTTTTCTTTTTAAATCTACAAAGTTTATTTATCCAAAAAATATTATTGAGAATAATAGAATAAAATATAAAATATAAAAATATATATCTTCTATTATATTATTAAAAGAAAGTAGCATACAACAATTTAAATAAAGTAATATGCTAATAAAAGTTTCTATTAACAATGAAATAATACTAAATATGGATAATATAATAAAGCAAAATACAAAACAAAAAAGTTATTCGATGACTATATAAGTCGCTTTAATTTAATAAAAATTTTATTCATTAAAATTCAGATAATATTATTGAGAATAATAGGATAAAATTTTAAAAATATATATTTAAAGAGTACTAAAATATATATCTTCTATTATATTACAAAAAGAAAGTATAGTAGACAAAAATATTAAACAAAGTAATATGCTAATAAATATTTTTATTACCAATGTAAAAATACTAAATATTGGATAAGTATAATAAAGAAAAATATAGAACAAAAAAGTTATTCAATGACTATACACGTCTCTTTAATTTAATAAAGCTTTTATTCATTAAAATTTAGATAATATTATTGAGAACATTAGAATAAAATTAAAATAAACACAGTATTTCAAGAGTAATAAAATATATGTCTTCTATTATATTACAAAAAAAATTGTAGACAAAAATATTAAACAAAGTAATATGCTAATAAAAATTTCTATTAACAATAAAATTATATTAAATCTTGGATAATATAATAAATAAAAATACATAACAAAAAATAACTAATTGACTATATAAGTTCCTTTAATATAATAGAGATTTTATTCATTAAAATTCAGATAATATTATTGACAACAACAGAATAAAATTTAAAATAAAAAATATTTCAATATTAATAAAATATATATCTTCTCGTATATTACAAAAAGAAAGCGTGCAAATAAAAAAGATTTTATTAATGAGTATATCATATTGACAAATAAGATAAAATTGAAATTTATTAAAGCAATACGATCTAATATGTTCAAACAAATACGATCATAATTTAATTTAATTAATATTAACGGGCGCGACTGCTTGCTGTATATTATTATAGTCCAATATCTTTGGACTTTAACTCAAACTAGTCTTATTTCTTTTACATGGAGCACTAATAGTTATCATTCTTTAATAAAGTGGTACACTTTTAGTCTCCATGTTTGATATGAAAAAATATTTTTCGGTAAATATTTTTCAATTTTCTCATGTTTGGTTGACTTAAATATTTTGGAAAATATTTTTCTCATGAACTCATTTTCCTCCAATTGGAGGAATATATTTTCCCTCTCAAGAGAGGGAAAAATATTTTTCAAAACTTTTCTTCAAGCTTCCTAACCTTTTTCTTCAAACTTTTCTTTACTGTTTACATTTTCTANCAATTAGGGCTTCGAGTAGAAGACAAAAGAAGAGGAATTACTTGTGACGATCCCCAATTTGTGTCAGAGACAGACACTAGGTATTATATTGCACTCTACCTTTCTGTTAGTTTGCTGTTGAGTGTTCAAAATTTGCTTCTTTGCCTAATGGGTATTTCCAAATGTAATCACCGGTTTAAGTTTTATGTATAAAGACCTGTCTTGTTGAGTTCGATTTCTCCAGTTTGAGTTGAATGTTTACTGTTTTTGCTCTGAAATTGAGGAGTTGTTTCCTTCTTTCTCTTTAAGTTTACTCAAAGAAATTCTCGTTTTCTGCGACACCAACCTATTTTTCTCGATTTTGATTTTTTACTATTCCTTTTGTCCTTTTGTCTTTTTATTTTCTCGAGCCGAGCGTCTCCTCCGGAAACAAGCCTCTCTACTCCTTCGGTAGTTAAGGTCTGCGTACACACTACCCTCCCCAGACCCATTAGTGGGATTTTATTGGGTTGTTGTTGTTGTTGTTAGCACTATTATCTTGAGTTATTTATCATAGTTTGTATCCAAAAAAAAGTTGTCTTTATGTCTATTTCCTCCCTGCATGGCACATGTCTACTGCATCATTGCATTTTATAAATTTGCACAATGGAACCCCTTATTACTTTTTTTCCCCTTGTATTTCAGTTTATGTTGTTCAATTTCCATGTTTACCTTTTTTGACAATAGGATGGTTTGATGCTATTCACTTAGATGCGTGCCCATGTGGATCATGTTGGTGGTTTTCTAGAGTATACTCGTACCTTCTTCTGTAATCTAGTTGCCGAGCAATATCAACCACCTCGTCGAACGTAGCACCCGATACACTATCCCGAGTCATAACAAAACGCAACTGACAGTGGAGGCCATCGATGAACCTCTTAATCCTCTCCCACTCAGTGGGAACCAACCAAACTGCATGACGAGTCAACTCTGAAAATCTCATCTCATACTGGGTCAAACACATGCCCTACTAACGTAGCTGCTCGAACTGTCTGCGCAGCTCCTCCATGCGGATATGTGGCACAAACTTCTCCAAGAAGAGAACGGAGAACTCATGCCATGAAAGTGGTGCAACACCGACTGGTCTGCTCCTCTCGTAGGCATCCTACCATCTGAAGGCAGCCCCTAATAGCTGAAAAGTAGTAAAGGAGACTCTACTAATTTCCAGAATACTCGTCGTGCAAAGAATCCGCTGGCACCTATCCAAGAAGTTCTGAGCATCCTCTGACTCAATGATGGAGGCTTGATCCTCCGAAAGCTCTCCAGCCTCTTCTGCTCCTCATCAGTCATAATGGGACCCTCCGGGCCTGAGCAACTGCAATCGACTGGGCTGGTAATACCCCCGATGTCTGAAGTCCCTACATCACCTGCTCTGGAGTATGGGCGGCGTGAGTCTGAGTACCTCCCCGACCTGAGAAGTGGCTCGCGCGGTCTGAACAGAAACCGCCTGAGCAAGACTAGTGCAAACTGTCAATATCTGAGCTAAAGCCTTCTGAAGGCCTGGAATCACAATGGGCACAGCTGGTGCCTGAGCTGGCCCCCACTGGCTCAACCACATCTGGAACCTGCTCCTGACCTGGAACAACTGGTGGATCTGCAGGTGTTGCTCTAGCTGCTGTACGAGCTGCACCTCTACCCCTACCGCGACCCATGCCTCTCGTGGCCCTAGCCGGTGGTACTGGTAGCTGTCCGTCCGGTTCGATAGCACGTGTCCTCACCATCTATGAGAGAATAGAATAGCTTAGTTCCCGGAATCAACAAATTCGCACTACAAGAATACAAGAATGTGAAGTTTTCCTAAGGGTTCGGCAGCCTCTCGAAGATACGTACAGACGTCTCCGTACCGATTCGCAAGAATCTACTAATCTTGTCATTACCCAAAACTCAACCTATCGTGATATCGCCTATCATGATACTAGGCAACCCGACAACTCAAACATACCGACACTTTCAAATTTAAAATATACTAAAACAGGTTTAAATAAGTAAAAATCTCATAAAACCGTCACAACTCGATACAGAAGTTTTTCCCAGAACCCAAGTGTCACTGAGTACATGGGCATCTATACAAATACAAATCTGATACACTGTATAAGAAAAAAAACGGAAATTGAATAAGTAAAACTGAGGGATAGGGGAGGAGAGTCAAGGTCTGCGGACGCCAAGACAACTACCTCGATAATCTCCGAATGACTGAAAACTCTGAGAATCAGCAATCACCGTGTCCGGAAATACCTGGATCTGCATACGAAGTGTAGAGTGTAGCGTGAGTACAACCAACTCAATAAGTAACAAGTCTAACCTTTGGATTGAAAGTAGTGACGAGTTCGAACATTACAGCCCACATACAGAATTAACATTACGGAAATTTTCGAAAAATTTATGAAAAATATGACAGTAACATTACAAAACTCAACCTATCGTGATATAGCCTGTCATGATACTAGGCAAGCCGACAACTCAGACATACCGACATTTTCAAATTTAAAATATACTAAAGCAGGTTTAAATAAGTAAAAATCTGATAAAACCGTCACAACTCGATACAAAAGTTTTTCCCAGAACCCAAGTGTCACCGAGTACATGAGCATCTATACAAATACAAGTCTGATACACTGTATAAGAAAAAAAATAGAAATTGAATAAGTAAAACTGAGGGATAAGGGAGGAGAGTCAAGGTCTGCGGACGCCAAGGCAGCTACCTCGATAATCTCCGAATGACTAAAAACTCTGAGAATCAGCAACCACCGTGTCCGGAAATACCTGGATCTGCACACGAAGTGTAGGGTGTAGCGTGAGTACAACCAACTCAATAAGTAACAAGTCTAACTTTTGGACCGAAAGTAGTGACGAGTTCGAACATTACAGCCCACATACAGAATTAACATTACGGAAATTTATGAAAAATATGACTGTAATATCTCAGAAATTCATAATCTGCAGTTAACGGTAAAGGAATTTAGACGTGCTTCTAAGTTTAGCAATTAAACTCATAACAGATAAAATATGTCAAGTCTGAATGATATACGGAATAGGACATCTCTATATCTATATGCCAATATGCATATCGTATGCGATGCAACACAATGAAAGCCTCGCATACTCACTCTCGGAGTACCCAACCTGACTGTCTCAATTCTCACTCATCACACTCAATCACTCAGGACTGTACAGGGCAGATCCAAGCCCAAATGCAAATAAATCCAGGGTAGATCCAGCCCAATGCAAATGAATCGATAACAACTGCGCTCACTGTGGGTGTGCAGACTCTGGAGGGGCAGATCCAGCCCAAGCGCTATAATAAGCCAAATCCTGGCATGAATCAATAAATCCTGTTGCGGCGTGCAGTCCGATCCCATAAATATCACTCACAACAGGCCCTCAACCCCACCCAGTCATCAATCTCTCCAGTCTCTCGGTCTCACAACACTCATGCTAAGCAGCCCAAATCAAATGATACGAGATGTGACAATATATGATAACGGAGACTGAGATGTGATATGAAATGATGAATGCGACTGAGTACATAACTGCAATTAAGCAAATAACTCAACAGCAAGGAACAATCACTATGGGTCCCAATAGTACTAGCATATAGCTAAAACATGATTTCTAACATAAATCACAGCTCAAGTGCTCTAACACATAGAGTACAGTAATAATGTTCAAATAAGATAGCTACACAGTTCTATAGAATTGACTAAATCACAATTACTACGGTGCGGGACCATGTCTCGGAATCCGATAAAAGTCACAAAATCCGAAATCTTATTTAACCACGAGTCCAACCATACCAAATATACCAAATTCCGATACCAAATCACCACTCAAATCCCCAAATTTAACTCTCCAAATCCCTAGCCTCAAACTCCCAATATTGCACCTAAAACACACACAAACTAGGTGGGAAATTCAATAAGGAAACAATATTATTGAATAAAAATGGTCACAAGTGACTTACCTCAATAAACCCCTCGAAATCCCTCTAAAAAATTGCCTTAGTCCAAGTTTGAAATGTCCAAAATGATGAGAATCACAAAAACCCTTCGACCTATATTCTGCCCAGTGTTGTTCGCACCTGCGTCACTTTCTTTGCTTCTGCAATACCACTTCTGCGGTCAAATCTCCGCATCTGCGGAACTCACTTAAACTCTGCTCCATCGCTTCTACGGCCCCAATCACGCATCTGCGAGCTCGCTCATGCTCAACAAGGTTCGCTTCTGCGAACTACCTTTTCCAGTTCACCCTCCGCTTATGCGGAACCACACGCGCATGTGCGGGCTCGTAGATGCGGCATATCCCTTGCACCTGCGACCAATGCCCAGCTTCGCCCAAACCGCATTTGCGACCAATCTTTTGCTTCTGCGACCAAAACTCCGCAGGTTCGATCGCACTAGACCTGGTGCACTTCATCAATTCTTCAATTCCAAACTTTGATCCGTTAACCATCCGAACTCCACTCGAGGCCCCCGGGACCTCAACCAAACATACCAAGAAGTCCTAAAACACGATGGAACTTAATAGAGGCCTCAAATCACATCAAACATCAAAAACACGAATCGCACCCCAATTCAAGCCTAATGAAAACTAAGAAATTCCAACTTCTACAATCGATGTTGAAACCTATCAAATCAAGACCGATTGACCTCAAATTTTGCACACAAGTCATGAATGACACAACGGACCTACTCCAACTCCCGGAACCAAAATTTGAGCCCGGTAATCACAAAGTCAACTCTTGGTCAAACTTCTCAATTTCCAAAACTTCTAATTTCCCAACTTTCGCCATTTCAAGCCTAAATCAACTACAGGCCTCCAAATCACTATCCGGACACACTCTTAAGTCTAAAATCACCCAACGAAGCTATTGGAACATCAGAACTCCATTTCGGAGCCATTTACACGTAAGTCAACGTGCGGTCAACCTTTTCAACTTAAGCTCCCAACCTTGAGATTAAGTGTCTCAACTCATTCTGAAACAATCCCGGAACCAAACCAACTACCCGGCAATTCACATAATAACAATTTAGCATAGAATAAGTAGTAAATGGGAAAACGGGGT